CGCCATCGCTATTAGGTTGGAGGCCATCGCTAGTAGGTTGGAGGCCATTACTACTAGCAGCAAGAAGCTACTAGTAGTTCATTCAGCCTGTTTCACTCAAGGGGCTATGGTCGCAGGTGTGATGTTGCAGGGGGAGGCAAATGCGATGTGAACGGATGCAACAGCAGATATACTTACGTTGCTTGGCTTCATTAGATGTTTCTCTAGGGAAACATACACCCATCCTATCTGATCACGGTACCGTGCAGGAATTAATTGAAGTATCAATACCCAGCACAGATTGCCATAGCACGTGTAGAGTAGTTTCTACAGTATGTAGTCTGGCCGGCATCAAGTTCTAATTCACCATTAGCTCAAGCTTGCAGCTGTTGAATGAGTGTCGAGTACACCATGATGCACCTAGGTCAAGGGCTTATGCAAAGCCTGCAGTCAGCACTGCCAGACATGTGATCGTGCCTAGGGGAAGTTTGGTGAGTGATGTGGTGAATTCAGTTGATGTATTGACCTGATAAGTGAGTTGTACAAAGTCTTGAGTGAATTCAATCTAGTGTTCAACAAGTAGTTGTCCTGTCTTTATTACTGTTGAATTGAGTTGATCTTCTTGATAAAATTTAAGTGGATGTTTTTCTTGCTTTGTGACGCTGTCAGGTTCGGGAGCTGGAGACTGTGATTCAGGCAAATGTGATTCTGCCTACGGGCACTGGAGGACCACAGACAGTATACAAAAGCCACTCAAGTCAAGAAGTCTGGACCATCAATATGTGGTGTTCATTTAGATGTGATAAATTTATGTAGTCTGGCAGTTCGCAATGTGGCCATGAACACATAAATCTATGAACCCATCCGAGTGACTCATATGGTACTAACTGACTGTTTCTGGAGGAATAGAACTGGATGCGGAGCATGCACGCCTCACTGCAACATCTGCGATATGGCGGGAGCTGACAACTGCAATGCTGGACAGTGTGACTCTTGGCGAAAGAAGGTTTCTCCGGCAAACAGCATCTTTGAACAAAGCACGCTGAGAACGTCGAACAATTAGGCAGCACGTTATACAAATGATGGAATCAAATGCTCCCCGTGCGCTTCATATTGCCTCTATTGCAAGTCATCTGGCCCATCTCGTTGCGACTCATGCAACTCGGCGTATTCGAGCCTCAGCTACTAGTGAGAAGCTAAGTCAAGCGACGCTGAGAAACGATATGTTAGTATGAAATAGAGATGAAGCATATGAAGACATTTCTTGCAGATGGAAGCATCAGATGCAACAAGCTATCAAAGCTGCTTCACAAAGCTAGTCAGATTTGATGCCTTAGCGTGCAAGGTCAAGATGGCTATTTCGTTGATCCGTCGAAGCTATGCCTGAGTTGTGCAACAAACTGCCGCAAGTGCAACACTGCCTCGCCACTGGGGTGCGGTACCAAGAGCCCTTAGGTGAAGCCGGTCAAAGCCTTGACAAGGCATAGCAAGTGCGTTGAGTGTTGGCTTGAACATGCACGAAATGGGGTAAAGATCAGGTGCACCGATTGTGTTTTCGGGTACCACCTGGATGCGAAGCATGGATGTTTGCGGAATCCGATCATTGGCTGCCCGCTTGCACAAGAAATAATTTGCTAATTCATGTTAATTCCCTTTTGTGGTGGCAACATCGGGGTAGTTGTGGTAAGGCAGAGACAAAGGTCAAACTCCTTACTCACCCTCTTTGTCAAGACCCGATGATTGTATAGAATATCTTCATAAGATTTTGTGCCGGCCCCTGTCTTAACCACAAATGATTCCAAACATGACGCCAGTCTTGGCCACAAGGGCAGCCGCAGTGGAGTGCTGGTAGGTTGGGTTAAATTGGCACTGGAATGCAGGGTTTCAAAGCACATTGTTGTGACTGCGTGACATGTGGAAAAGGGTATGGAAAAGTCAGAGACTTCTACCGAAAAAGACAAGGATGTCAAATACATGCTAATGATGCTGGATGTAATACTACTACTAATATCCAGTTTCAGAATCCTAGTTTCAGAACCCCGGTTTCGGAGTCCAACCGATTAGTTTCCGAATCCGGCTCTACCCCTGTACTACTACAGCACATTGTAGCGGACTGCATGCCACATAAACACATGCTTAACCTCATCATCACAACGCACTAGGGGCCACTTCGCGACATTGGAGATCACTGCAGAAATCATCGCATCATGGCATTGCAGTTGCACCTCGATGCACCTTGCACATCACCCAAACACATTCACACAGTCCACGATTTTTTTGGCAGCATAATTGTAAATCGTTGGAGGAAGCTTCTGCCTTGCTTTGCCAGGAGATTGCCTGTTCCACGGAGTTGAATAATAAGCAATTATATAATATAGATACAATAAAGTTCACACAATAGCATATAATAGCACTCCTTTTCCCTTTCCGGTCAGATTGGACCGATCAAAGAGACTCCTTTTGCAATGTCCTACCAACAAAGCTTTTGCATGTTTCCATGATGTGTCAGGTTGGGGTTGGGCAGTTGGAGGAGGTGTTCTTGCTTGTCTTGTGGGTGGCGGCATTGGAGTATATTTATGTTGCCGAAGATCTCGGCCTGCACGGAGCCCATTGCGCCAATCTGAGCTTTTGGGGTGCAAAGCTGAAGAAAAGGAAGGCAAGACAGAAACAAGAGGCAACTTTACCTAATAATTACTAATTAATAGCAAAAGATACCTACCTAATAGCAATGGCCTCCAACCTAGAACAGGTCAAAAGCAACACTTTTTGGATCGGGAAAACGAACCGCCAAGCTTGGACTTTGTTGCCAAGCCTCTTTCCAAGGCAACAATCTCTCAGCACCGCTGCGTCAGCTCGTTCACAGCATCTTGTCCAGATGAGCTCACAAAAAATCCAAAATACATTCACACTCCCACTTAGAAAGGCGTTCAGTGTCCAGTGGGAGAATGACAACATCAATCAGACTCGGTAGAGTCGACAGAGGATGCAGCAATTGCAAATCGGGGGAATGCAGCAATTGACTTGCACACCTAAATGTGTCTCTTGGGTATCATTCCGTTAAGGCACACAACATGTTTGTGCCATTTCACTAACGTTTGCTTGTGCAGCACTAATTCCCACTGCACAAACCGAACACGGTTGCATTTGCAAGCCATCATTCCTGTGTATCAACTCAAGCGAGTACTGCATCCTGACCAACTTGTCGAGAGCGACCAGATGAATCAAGCTGAGAAAGCACGAGAAAGCGCCTGCAAATTTCTCTTGCCAAAACGAGTGGGTTAGCAGACTGTCTTTGGTTCAGTGTGCAGCAAGTAATTGGAAGCCGCTGGATTTATATGTATATATGCAACCGCAGGCAGGTCAACGCATTTCGAAGAGGGATGGGAGACTTATGAAGTAGCAAGGTTGGGGTGATCGGGTCTACTACTCCAATCGGAACATGTGGATTGATGAGCTGCTCCGTGTCAATGCCTCCCAGCTATGTCCAGATGCTAGTGTTTTTGTGTTTTGACAAATCTCTGGAGCGACAGCTAGAGATTTTCCCTTGTAGTGTTTTTGTGTCCATGTCATGTCCTTCTTGCCCATGACGCCTTTCAAGTGTAAGGGGCATGCAACCATCAATGGCTTGCCTTTGTTTTGGCTCCGACTCAGCTTTCTGACGTGTAGTGTTCTACAGCCTGAAAATGAAGGCCGCGCACGGCGGCATCGAGCATGCTGCGTGACCTCATTTCATCGGCCGGCCAAAAACCACAGCCTCTCTGCACTGGTTTTGCCTGGAAGAAACCTTCGTCTGAGAAAAACGGCCTCCAGCCCACTCGCCTCACTACCTTGGGAATGGAGTGTCAGTCTAAGAACAATTACCATGATCATCACCTTCACTCCAAGCACCAGCAGCGTAGCAATGTGAACTGTGTGAGTTGTGTCAGTAACACAACGCACGCAAACAATCAAAATATGATGGGCAAGTTCACACGCGAGAGATGCACCCATCATCCTCCCAATGAGGGTGAAGGAGAATGCAACAGCTTTGCAACGCATAGTACATAGAAGTTCGCGGTGGACACACCCAGTGGCTCACCTTTGCTGTTGGACACCGTGGAGTAAAGGCAGCAAAGTGGAATTTCAATTAATTAACCGGTGTGACCTCGCAAGCAAGCTTGTGGGACTTTCAGGAAGATTCAGGGAAGATTTGTTTTTTTTACCCTTTCTTAAATTGCAAAGATTACTTTACTACTTTCATGAGGTTGGGTCAGGCTACGGGCCAAGAGTCTTGAAGAATGGGTGTTGGTGAATCATGTCATACACCAAGGCGACAGCCTCTCAATGTCACTCAAGCTCCAGCGATCCCAAGCCCATCAGCTCCCTTGGCGTGCCTTGTCTTCACCAAGCCAAGAACATCGTATTTCACGTCCCTTGTGTTTGCAGGTTGGCTGTACTGATTGTACTGTAGATTCATGTTCAATCAGGCCAATCGATTCAGTGCCCAGTGGATCCTGGTCGTAGCCTCAAATGGCCTCATGTGCTCAGACAGGCAAAAGGTGCCGTTTCGGTCTCGAGGCGAGGCTATTACACCTACCAGGGCTGCAACCATGATGTTTGCGAATTTCACCTTCGCTTTCAAAACGGAGCAGTTCAAGGGGATGGCGTGGATGACGTAGGCCCGCATGTGATTGCTTCAGAGATGATTTCGTAGAGTAGACGAAAGAGTTGGCGGAGGTGCAGAACCATTGTGTATCATTCTTGTGTTTCCAGTGATGACAAACTGTGCGGTTGGTTTAAGGCAGTGCTCATGGGAATTTGAAATCCTATTTATGAATCTAGAGTAAACAAGCGTGCGAATCGCAGCCGCATTGACATAGGTTCCTACAGCATCCGTGGCAAATTTGATGGCCGGACTCATCGCATCTCCTTCACCAAGCAGTACCATGGCGGTTGATCATTTTGTTTTTAAACGGGGGGTAGGCCGTAGAGGTAGGTAGCTAGTAGAAGAGGTAGCTACTACCTGCAAGTAGCTACTAACTACTGGACGCAGGATAGCTCATGCTTTTTCAAGGAAGCTCCCTCCACTGCCCTAAAGGCGGCGGGGAAAGCTTCTTTGAAGAAGCGCTCGCACTAATGATTCAGTTTCTAGAATTTTTTTTGAAAATTAGGCCTTGTCAGGTTCAGGGTCAACCCTTAATTAATCCTTGCATTGGAGATAACTCGGATTGAAGATACGCTGGTTATCGTTCCTTTGACCATTTCAGCTTCTATGGTTGTGTCAAGATTTTCTAAAAGCAAATTTCTGGATGCAGGATTTTTAAGATTCTGTGGAATTGCAGGAGGTTTCATCGTGGGTCACGGTCAAACTGGTTTCTGAAACTCAGTTTGGCACCAAGTCCTCCAAAAGTAATCAACATGGTTGGGCTTGATTTACTGGAAAACCTATGTCTTGCAGCAAATTGTGATTGCTATGTGGTGCTATGTGCGCCACGAGAGTCAAACATCGAGTCACCAGTAATGCTAGGAGCTACTAGTAGCCATTTGCTACCTCGCAAAGCACTGCGGGCGCTTGAATGTCGATTGCAAAGGTCAAACAGTGCCAATGCTAGCAAAACTGCGGTGAAACAAAGAAATGGCGGTTGCGGATTCTGGGCGAAGAAATAAGGACCTAAAAGGGCTGGATTCTGGATTAGTTGTACTCAGGTCATAACTCAGAAGTAATGAAGGGCTTTGGACAGGTCGTGTCCCTCTCATGGACCATACAGAATACCGTGCAGTTGGACATACCCCTTCTTCGAACCATTTAAAGGTCATAAGTCATAACCCCTGCAGTGAGACTTGCCGCAATGCTTCGAGGTATCGGGCAGGAACACGAAATCACTTTGGCCGAGTGAACGGAGACAATGAGGGCCATGCAGTGACATACGACGGAAGGCGCCTGCAAAAAACAAGTGTGCTGAGACTATCTGACCTCTTCCAGGCATAGAGTGTTCCAAACTTTGAAGGTCAATAGTGAGCAATATACGGCAAAGCAGCATGACAATCTCAAGTCCAGGTAATCCTAAGTTATATTCCTGCATCTTTGCATCCATTTTCAATCGCTTCCTTTTTCTAGGCTGGTGGGGCAGAGCCTTGGCGCTGGCTTTCGCGGCGTTTGGCGCATCCGAAACCGTGGGACCAACAGCTGCTTGGAAACATCGCTTTCATCACTGAATTCTGAATGCTTACGTTCGGCCAGCAAGCCTGACGCAATGGCAGCTGAGGCGATGGTGTGTTCCACTTATGGCCAGCAATGGAAACCTGGGCCTCCGCTCCACCGCTGTTGGAGCCCACCAGGGAGGTCTTCCAAGTCGCAGAGGACAGAAAAATGAGTGTATTATGTCACAATGTCTTGACGATTTGAAACGGAACTTTGCAGAGACCTTTTCTGAAGTTTCAGAGTAGGCGTTCTTAGTGCTTACTGTCGTTTTGTTCTGCTGAAACTACAATTATTCCAGGATGGAGAATGTGTAGTTTGCATGGACCAGCCGATTTCAACATGCTTGCGTCCTTGTGGTCATATTGCATTGTGTTCCAAATGTCTGGACCTGAGAATGAAGTGCATTTAGCATTTCCTTGGCTTTAAGTAAGCAAACATGATCCATACTGAAACTGCATGCTCACAAAAAAGCACCTTTCACCAGGTGCTGCTCGATTGAGACAATCCAGACCAGCTGCGTGTCCCATTTGCCGTTCGCAGATTGAGAGCTTGCCTTAGCTTGCATGACCAAAGGAGTTTAGCTACGAGGAATATCAGATTGCCTGCCACGTTTTGTACCCGGTGACTTCAGGTCCGTGCTCACAACAAACGAAGTTGGCCCAAGTGCGGTTCAAGCTTCTTGCCCTGGATTTCCGTGTGTTCATTCGCACATAGATGGACGAGGAAGTCACAGGTTCAGGAGAAAACAGGCTGGAGCGAATGTACAGTGACTGGAGATGCATGCATGATTCCATGATACACAAATTGTATGACGGGGAACATCACGACGTCTTCTTTGGAGGTCCAGTTTGGCTGCTGCTCTGAACAACTCTCGGTGCCCCCCCGTGTGGGTGCATATTGCTGAATTCATTTGTCCATATGCTTCCATATGTTTTATATTGGAGGGACCCAATTTTGTGAAGGCTTGGTTTGTGCAAGTACCCTGCATATTTTTGGGTGAAGCTTCCACCCAGGATATGCTGAAAGATTGTCTTGATTCTTCAATGTATAGTTTTAAACTATTGAGCTGGATGAAGCACATCATACCTGTCATACCTCGAAGGTCGGTCCTGTTCGGCTGTGACTTGATATGACTTGTTCAACCATGTTGCTTTTGATTTTTGCTATTTGAGGCCTTGCACATCTCGCACTGAGCGTCGCAATATGTTGTAATGCTAGTTCTGTTGCTTGATCTTCATTGTCACCGTGCAAAGCATGGGCAATGAGCAAAGCTGGCTCTTGTACAGGCAGGGTCAGCTCAATCCTGTAGCCTGTAGGGTCAATCCACTTCGACTTCCCAGCACTTGGCTGGGAAGGAAGAATACTTCGGAAGAAAGGGACAGCAAAAGTAAGGCTTTGGGTCTTAAAGGTGCAGGCAGAAGAAGCACAGGAGCAGCTGGACGTAGTTGGACCTTCTTTGGAGTTGAGCACTCAAGGTCCAAGAAGGGTCCGCTGTCACTGAAACCGCTGAGTAGTGCAACCGGCTTGTTTGGAGAGCAGACTTTCCCCGTGCATGTCGGTGCTTGTCTTTTGTTTTGTCATTGTCATGTGCACGATTGTGCCTGTTGAGGTTGGTTTCCCGACATCATTGCGCGTGTCGCGTTCTTCCAGAATTGGAATGAGTCTCTCGATGAACATGTGGTCTGCACAGCATGATTGCCCACTTTTGCATTCAATTGCAGAGTGTGGATTTTGAAGTCAATCATCTATTTGCACCTGAGTTTGGGCAAGACTCCTCCGGTGCATTGGATCAGCGGTATATTCTTTCCACAGGCAGAGTGGGTTCTCATGTCTTGCAATGCGGTACGCTTTGGACCATCCGCTTCCATAAAGCAAGAGACCGTGGCCTGAGCCTTGCGATGCACAATTGCAGGCCTTCTTTACTGGAGCGATGCAAAATTATGCTCGGAAGCATGAAGAAGAGATCGACCTACTTTCCTTCTCACAGAAGGCCTGCCTAGCCTTTGCTTTCATGTGGCTTAGTACACCGTACTTTGTCAGGTCATGGACAACGTCACTAACCCTAAGAAGGAGTTTGCGAGCTAATCGTGTGGCTTCTTCCATCAATCAGCTGTTGGAGTGGGTCATATGGATAACTACTAAGCAGGCTGATTTATATGCATGTTATCATGTTGTGATCTTGCCATCCGTTTTTGTAATTCATCCATCAGTCACTTGCATTAGAAATTTGAGGGCATCGGACATCAAACAAATGCCCTCAGGAGCTGACATCGCCCCCCGAGGCTGGCCGTCTGTTTCTGCACATCGACTTGTTCTCAAAGATGTATGTTCAACTGCTGAATGCTCTCGTTGAAGGATGGAGTCTACATCTACGGTTTGTTCATCGAAGGTCGGAGAAGTTGTGGTGATTCTTTAGCAAGGACGCTATTAGGTGGATTACTACATTAGTTACTACATGATTCTTCATGATTCTTTGTCCGTCAGGTGCACGCTGGGACACGGGCACCCACATGGTGCCCCGAAGCGTCAAAGACGGTCAAAAGGTATGAAAGAGTTTCAGAGGGCAGAATGGACGGATGGACGGTGTGGCAGCCATAGTGCTCAGCCATTCCAGCCGCAATACTGCTTTTACCAGTACCTGACAAGATAAGTCCAATTGTGGTCGAACAGGAAAACTGGAGCAGGTACAGGGCTCTCAGCCGAAGGTGCTCTTCACTGAGTTGCCCTTACTGTGGTTCCTTCCAGTCAAGGAGAGCGCCCATGAGCGGCCTTTATAAAGAAATGACAGCGTGATACAGCGTGCACCAATCCATTTAATTCTTTGTTCAGTCTTTGTTCTATGAAAACATGGACGTGTGTCAGGACCGCAAGCCCAATCCCAAGGACTACCGATGTCCAACCTACAAGGTGCCTAGCTCATCCTACCGATGACAGCTTCTTCGGTTTCGACATCTTTGTGACATGGTGTTCTTCAGGTTCTCAGCCGAAAGGGCACGCTTCTCACCACAGGGCACTCGACCAATTTCGTCCTTTACCTGGAGCTTCCAACTGACCAGGCAGGTTTGTGAAATCAATGTGCTGGTTCCTGTTTGTTGTTCTTGCTTTTTTCTCCGTATGGTTTGCTCGGCAACTTGCAGGCTGTATCGAAATGGATCAAAGCAGGGGTGGCTTCATTCCTTGCTTTGATCCTTGGCACTGTCGACAAAGCTCGACGCAACAATGCAAGAATGACAAGCGATTACGCTCACACTTATAATTTTTAATCACTTATGTTTTTATTTTTTTGGTTTGAGTTCCTCTCCTTGCTATGTTTATCTCTGCTCAGGAAACATTGACCGGTGCATACTTCACCGCAGCAATTGGGAGAGCAATCACACTTGACGCACGAGTGAGCATTAGAAAGTAGAGCATGAACACCAAGTGAGAAGATGGAGCAGTATAATCTTTTGTATGCCTGCGTTACTATACAGTGTCACAGTTCAGATGCATGCTGTTTGTGTTTGGAGGTTTCTCATTACCATTACCTTCTTTGAAGGTCTTATTGTTTGACCTAGGGGTCATGCAAAAACTCCGACAAGGCTCAAAGAGCGTTGTTGGGATGTGCCATGCTGCAGTTCATTCATGAATTCGCTTCTTACGTCTAGAAGATCTATTCTATAGCACATGTTCAGACAGGATGGCAAGTTAACGATTTGCCCAAGCACCTATCCGAAACTTGGGGGTGCGGCTAACCAAATGCATTTTCAACATGCATGAAAAAGATTGAAAGAGAAGGTAACTGGAAGTTTGAACTGATGAAGGTCTTGTTTGCTGTCATTTTTCTTTTGCTTGACGCGATTTGCGTATATTCTTGCCTGAGCCGAACTTTCCTTGACCACTGGATTGATGGCTCCCAGCTACGGATCAGCCAGCAAATACTTTCGACTGCATGAGAAGCAGATTGGTACTGTAGATGATATGAAATCTTATGGTGAGCATTCTGATCAATTGGATCATGATGTAGCATAGCAACATTGGATAGATGTTGTTAAGACATGCACCCGACTGTGAGTATAGAAATGTAGAATCTGAGGCGCCAGTTTGCGGGCATTGCAGCTTGCGAATGAATAGCCAAAACAGAGCTGCACCTGCTTGAGCACAAACCGACTTGGCCATGGGAGTGCAGACGCTGAAGCACCGACGAGAGGCAGCCGGGAGGCCTTTTGTGAATGCTGCGCAGATCATTTCAGTTGTTGGAATCTCTCAAGATCTCTTGTTGCCGCCACCAAAACTCACTCACATATAAACCTGCAAGCTGCTATCCATCAGTGCCCTCCTCTCGTTGCAGGCGCGTGATTCCAGCTGGCCACTCCAAACGGACTTTGGCTGTGCTGCGGCGCCATGGAGTGATGAGGCACAAGTTGCGGTTTAGCAGATCATGTTATGTTCGGATACTTAAGTCACAATGTGTCCAACGATACCATATAGACCAGGCGTGGAGTACGAAAAAACAAAGCTTTGCATAGCATTGCCACTTAGAACGCACACCTATTCTCCATGCCATCCATGCAATCGCTTGGCTCATGTAAGCAGAAACTGGAGTCTGAAGCCATGAGCTTTGAGAAGACGAATCAGCAGGAGATTGGATAGTGTTTGGGTAGGCCTGCTCTTGGCCCGGCCCGCTTCTTCGGAGGCCAAGCGATCGACAACTGCGGCAATGTGAGTTGTGTCAGAAACAACGACGAATTGGTCGATGGTGGTCAATGTCCTCAGTGTTTACGTTGTCCTATCTCATTGACTCTTAGTCTCAGTCTTGTTAGATGCAATACAAAGCCACGCTGATAACACTGCTTTTTGAGTTACGTATTCCAGTGTCCCAGTGAGGTGGCCACCGAGACAGCTTGTACAAGGTTGGTTTTTCTTTAGTTACACCATGATGATTCAAACGTGTTCCCACCATGCCAGCTGGAGCAGCAAGTTCTGATGCTGGCATTGTTTGGTGCTCGGGGAGCATTGTTTGGTGATCCGGTGACATCAGTGACTGGTAGGGACCTGAAATGGTTCACCAAGGCAGGCTCAGCTGCCTTGCAGGCTGCTCCTCCAGGCGTCAAGGTGCCACCTTTGGCGATTCGGAACGTGTAGTGCCCTGACCATTTGTCATATTTTGTCATTGTTTTTTCATGTTTTGTTTTAATTTGTTTTGGTGGCAGATGATGCTCATACCCTTCAATGTGCTTGTGGTTGTTGCCTTTGATGAATTGTTATGTTGTTGCCTTCAGAACGAAACAGTCCTGTCTTAGTGACTCTAGTGCACACAGTTTTCATCACGTTTCCATCGAAGGGATATTGGAAATATTGCTTGTGGTGCTGCCGGCCTTGTTGGGACAATTGGTTAGTTTGCTACCCAGTGCGCAAGATGCGACAAGGCGTAACAATTCCATGCTTGGTGATACAGCCACTGAATGCCACTGATATTTGGATAAAGTATGATAGATCATTGTCAGAAAGAATTAAGATGACATGAACAAAGGAAGGGGTAAGCCCCCTATTAACCTTCCTTTTTCTTGTTTTGTTTCTTTGTTCTGAAGACAATGCTCGCAATATGCTGCAATTAAGGTCCAATACAAGCAATGGTTTCATGATGACAACTGGAGCCCGGCCAAGCTCAATTCTGGTGTGTCAGAGGAGCCCATGGGCAAGAAAACAGTGTATGCAACGTTTCACCTCTTCAGTATTTCGTTGTTGCAAAAGCGGAGAGTGCAAAAACAGAAGTCCTTGTCAGGAGTCTTTGTCATCAAGCTCCTCCAGAGGTCGTGTATGGTCATGCCATGCTGGTCGAACTTGCAAAAGATCATGTGTCTCGAGGTGAAAAGCGGAAGAGCTCTCAAAGTGTCCCCAAGACAGGTGCTCAATGATGCTCACCATCAAGTGAATCTGAATTGTGTAAGAAAAAACATGAAACAAACTAATGTAATATTAAAGCACTGAATGGAATGATTCCAACATCAAATTCGAAGGAGACACTTGACTTGAGTATTTTCTTTTGGGCCCAGACGCCAGGGGAGGTCTTCCACTATGACTTTATTGAGATTGGAACGTCCAACTACCACACGTTTACGCAGGCCCCACAACATGAGAATGGCAATGGATTGTGTTTAATTTTGTATTTACAAGATGCAGGCAGGTAGAGCATATTACACTTGCTACCCCCTCCCACAAAACACCCTTTCGCATCCTTTTGCGAGGTTCAAGGATTAATTTGTAGTCCCGAGTACTTGTACCTGCCATTATATAGCGCACCATGTAGCAAACCACTAAAAACACAAAACTGCATGTAGCATGACCAAAGCAGAAAACTGCATAAACCACTATCACTACATGAATGTTGCCTTTGATCTTTAACTACTGCCTTTGCATTCAATACTAGACTAGAATGCCCTGAAAGCTATTTAGGTGTAGTTTCTTCATGATTTTTCACTAGGTACCCGCACACCGCTACCCCACCTGTGGCTCGTGCACAGCTGGCCGTGCCACACTTGTGATTGACACCAATCATGCCACTCACCAGCGGCCCACCTCATTTTCACGGGCATGTTAGGCACTGCGACATCACGGTTCGATGCCCTTTGTTCCAAGTAGCGTTCTTGCTCCTAGTAGTACGGCCAGGAGCCTCTAGTAGCGTCCTTGCTCCTAGTAGCGATGCCCTTTGCTCCTAGTAGCGTCAAAATACCTCAAACCCTTTCCGAACTAAATCTTATGTTCGGGATGTGTAATACAAAACATGTCAAGCGGATTGAGTGGCCCCTGTCCTGACAATGTACTTGACAAATCTTCACAACTGATTGGTGTGGCCTCAAGCTCTTTTTAAATACCCCCATTCTTGGACATTGCCTTTTCCTTTTTATTCTAGTTCGTACTACCTCTAGTTGGCTCCTCCTCTTCTTATTCACTTTCCGCCCTGCTGTTGCAATTGATATCCTCATTTCCTCTTCTCTCTCGACAAGCTCTTCCCTAATCTAAAAGATCCAGCCAGTCTTTTGTGTCTATTTTTGACTCAATCTTTCTCTTTATGTTCTTGAAGACTACTGAGAGCAAACAATTGATGCGTCAAGCACGAATAACAGGGTTCCTAGCAATCGAAACTCAATTATTGCAAGGACAAAGCAGCATGTCTTTTTCCGGCCAAGTTCTGGAAAGACTTGCCCAAGTTTTTAGGATTGTAGAAACACAGATGCTTTGGCAAACGCTTTCCTGCGCGCCCCCCAACAGAGAATAAGCCTCGAAGGTGCGAGCGGAATAAACCTTGTAGTGCAAAGTGAAAGATGCAAGCAAAAGAAGGGTACAGACCTGATGAAAAACGACAAGTGGAGAATGAAAAACGACAAGTGGAGACACTAGTAGAAGAGACCCATGAGAAAACAACTATATGTACCACATCGTGAACCTAGGTTGCTTAATGAACTCGTCACATAATGGGTTATGAGGCCCTGGCCAGTGCGCACACGCACTGAAAAAAATGAACAAATGGTAAGAAGGTAGAAACTGAGAGAAAGTGTCATAATCCCTCAGTGCACATGTTGAATCTCATCACGAATCAAAACAACCGCCACGTACATAGGAACCATAGGAGCAGTGTAGCCACAAAGGCCCGTGCCGGTGCCAAGAATGCAGAAACCACACACGCAGAGCACCACCAACAAGCAAGTTTCGAACAGGAACCAAAGGTACAGCATGCACAGTTTCCTCGACCTGTACTGTCACGGGGGAGTTCAGCAACTTCCAACGATTTTAGCCAGGGCTGTACTAGATCGCCCCCCAATAAGGAAGACGCCAAAATTTGTCAAACTATCATGGCAAGAGACCCCGAACAGTGTGTCTAAAGGTCTAAGGTCTGGAGGTGTAGAAGCAGACTGTCTAGAGATCTAGACGCACTGGGCTCCAAAGAGAGGTGATTGTGATGGTGGTGATGATGATGTTGGTGGTGATGATGGAGGTGGTGATGGAGGTGGTGATGGTGGTGGCGAGGGTGATGATGGTGGTGGAGATGGTGGCGGTAATGATCATGGTGATGGTAGTGATGATGATGTTGATGGTGGTGATGATGGTGCTGATGGTTGTGATGATGTTGGTGGTGGTAATCATGGTGGTGATGGTGGTGGCGATGGTTGTGGTGATGGTGGACAAAGTATTGCGCCTGCCACAAAATCTGCATCTCAAGGTCCACAAGGCACTGCCCTTCCCACGAAATCTGCACTTCAAGGTCCACAAAGTACTGCGGCTGCCACGAAATCTGCGCATCAAGAATCGCATCGCGCAGCCCTGCCAAGGCGATTCGCAGCAAGAGCACTTCCAAAGACAAAATCAAGATGCCAAATACGCAGCTTTCACTCAAGACTTCCTCCGATATCTGAAAACGAGCCGCATGTCCAAAAGTCACGATTCACTGCCCCTGGAACGAAAACAGAGCACGCCTAAGGCCATCACCATGTCCATTACCACATTAATTGTTTGGGGAACAAAAGCCAGCAGATCAAATTGTTCCTTTTCTTGTACTTGTATGTGCAGGACAGACAGTGACAGTGTTTTTTGCTTTCAATATGTATAATACAGTAGAAGCAGAGGTATACGGTGTGTATGTCCACAAAGTTTCACAACACTGGCAATATTTTCCAAGTCCATGCGTTCCGCAATAGTTTGAGGCCGCTGGATCACATCCAAGCTACAAACCATGTGCTTACAGGCGGTGGCCCGAGCCACTGAAGTAATCGCCTGAGAGTTGCTTGGCCAAACATGCCCATTTACATGCATTCATTTGCGAGGTATCTTCCAAAAGGAGACCTGTCGCAGCTGCGTGGCCTTGCGGTCGACATGAAAAGAAGGAGCCCTTCTTGACCAAGAATTGTTGTTTTGTACATCAAATTATCAAAAGGAATAGATTATCATAATTACTGCATTTGTGCCCAATATATATATATATATATCTTTGGCATTTGCCTTTGGCTGGGCAGAATCCTGCAAAAAATCCCTGGAAGGTACCTTCAGCAGCTCCCTGACCTCCCTAATGCGGGAATCCCAAGTAGAATGAAACAGTTTCAAAATTAGAAGCACTAAGTTTGCTATTGTTGCTGGAGTTCTGAGGTTACGAAAGTTAAAGCAGCCATATCAGATCGTGAAATTGTGCTGCCCATGCACCTTGACAGGAGGATTTTACGTGTGAGCCATCCTGACTGAGGAAAACGATTCACATGAGCCCCTTTGAATAGCCAGGCATCATGTCAAACTCGCAGACATCGAGCACTGGGAGCGGATTTTCGCAACTCAAGGCCGGGTGACGAGCCACTTTGGGGTCAAAAACTTCACACAAATATGAAGATGAAGTGGTTGCGTTTATATGCTGTGCACTGCTGCCATTTAGCACATTGGATAATGGTTGCATTGGTGTGCAGATCTCGTGTAATTTCAGTAGACAAAGCCACAGAAATGCTAATTGATCATGGCACAGCAGCGCAAAAGATCCATGAGCAGCTAGTGAACAATGCTCTCAAGCCGGGAGAAGCATAAGGGGGAGAAAGAATCAGAGCAATGGCCCTGAACTTGCCTGAAGCTGCCGAAGACGCTGCTGGCCCCAATTCGTCCGCAGCGTATGGCACCAAAGAGACAGAGAAGGACTGTGCCACTGTCTTTTCTCAGAGTTTGTCAACTAATTATATAAACCCTGTGCCAAAAGAAAAGGACAGAAAAGAGGAAGCAGAAGCAGAAGTTCCGTCAACCCCTCAGCCTTTCCCAAATTGATTCGGGAGGGATTGCGAACTACAGTTTTGGTCGCATGCAGTATGAAACTTCCTGGCTTTGGACCCTTTGGGGCGGGACGGTGCAGTGTCTCAGGCTTTTCTGCCATGTTAAGTTGTATGTGTTTCCACCTCTGAGAGAAGCTGCCGCCTCCACACCGCTAGTGAAGTACTGAGCTTTTACTGACAGAGTTTTAGGGTGTTGTAGGTAATTGACGCTGAGACATTTTCATTCGGAGGTTGTTCGAGGTAGCAGGGTTGTACTTCTTCATCACTGGTGAAGCAGTGTATCAATATTCTAACTGATGATTCTAGCGCGGCTGCATCAACCACGTCTTGAGATGTCTTGATATAGGGTCAATTATGGTCAATTCGAGATAACTGGAGCAATGCTAGGAGTTCCTCCATCCTCGCTGAAACATTCCAGTTTCCGAATTCAGGGTGGCCGAGAAGGATGGTCACAGAATCTCGCAGTTCCAGAATCCTGAGGCCACCTCCTTTGGGTTCCTGGGGCGGAGCGTTTGCTGGAGTCCTGAACGGGAAGGGTGGAAGGACGGAGCAAGTTGGACAGAATTCTTTCAAACTCACCTACAATATAAGCATGTCTGACTTTGAAAGCAAGTTAAAGCTTGATTACCGTTGAAAAAACATCGTGGTGCAGTGTGTTATTGTCACAGGAGACGTCACTCCGGAGCTCCATTGCAGCATCATCGGCATGTTTGGTTTCTTGTGCAACAGACTTCCATGTTAGGAATGTCACTAGAAAGTGCTTGTACTTTCGATGCCAGGACAATTTTGGGCTCTATGCGCTGTGCAGTTTTCGGATGTAATTGTGAATAGCAGCAGTGTCGAAAAAGCGGACGAAAGCAGTTCCGATGCGTTTGCTCGTTTGCTCTTCTGATCCTGTGCTTTTCATGCCCAACAACTCGGCTGTTGAGTCGTTGTGTGCAGGGAACTATAGAGGCTTCCGGCTGATACGCCTTGCACGAGGCTGGCAGGGCCTGACACATGCAATTTCAATGCAAGCTGACTGACTTGGCATCCAGTGTGATCGCAAGCAAAGCCCAGCCACAATAGTCACAAACTCACAGAAGATGAGACAAGGTGAAAGATGAAAGATCACCAGAAATTGCTGAATAGATGGGTGGTCTATTCATTTGTCAATGTGTTGCTGTTCCTTTCGAGGCTGCAGCGCACTGGGCCGGCACAAGGTATTGTCACATGCCCTCGGTTCTGGTCTCAGAACAACTTGTTGCAGTTCTGTGATGTTTAATGATATTCAGATTTTTTGCACTCCTGGAGCCCTGGTTCACATTAGGACTTCTGGGACTGCGGCATCTTATCCGAGTAAGGCAGCAGTTCGGTCAGCTGGAAGTTCATCAGAGCGAGGAGGTAGAAAAACGTAAAAGGTGAGAAAGCAAGACACAATAAGACAAGTCTGATATCCACATGCAGGGCAAGCGTTTGCTACGTAGCTGTGTGGCCCAAGTTTGAGACTTCCACAAGTCTGTACGGATTTCTCGCGCAACATGGAGGCTGGACAGTAGCATGCGGCATGACCGTGAGTGATGGCAAAGTCGTCAAGCCCATTGCAGCAACACTGGATGAAACCATCCATCGAGTGTTTGTTTCGGAACGGTCTTTGAGTCTTTAAGTGGCGTCAAGGACGTGGAAACCAGCTATGCGGCATTGGCACGCGACTCTTTGAAAGCCTTTTGCCGGCATGTTGACAGACTAGACACCAAAAGCACACCAAATCTGGAACGAGATGATGAACTGAACCTTGGAATACTTCAAGAACCCTAAAGTTTACGCTTCTTACTCTGTTCCAACATGAC